CCCCGCGATCCCCATCCCCAAGGAGTTCCGTTCCCTCCTCCTGCCTCTTCGTCTCCTATCTCCGTGGAGGAGCGGTGGGGGTTGGGGGGGAGAGGGAGAGCCTTGCTCCCCTTAAAAAGGCCACGCGGTGGGGGTGGGGGTGCGATGAGGAAGGAGGGGGCTCCAGCGGCCTCCCCTCTCGGTGTCCCAGCCAGGAAGTTCTTGGGAAAGCCCGGCCCCCGAGGAGGCAGGTCGCGGGGGAGAGGGAGGGATCTTCTGGGGACACGCCCCTTTCGGCGCCCTCACGCTTCAAAAACTAAGACTCCGGCCGCCAACCCACGTCGCTTCCGGCAGGTAAAGGGCCCCGTTCGCCCACCACCGGCGGAGGTGCCCCGGAAGTGTTAACTCGGACTCCGCCTCTTCACCTCGGAAGTGAAGCCCGCTCCTTTTTCCGGTGAGGAGGAGGAGGCTGCCGTTGCCGCCACTTGGGCCAGAGCCGGGGGGATTGTCTCCGGGGGTCGGGAGGGACTGGGGAATGGGCAGCGGGCGGGAGAACATGAGTGGCTTTCCTCGGCAAGCGGCACTTCCGGGGTTAAGTCACCCGGAAGCGGAAGATAAGACGTGCCTGCTGTCCGCCTGGCTGTCCGGGGGAGCGGCCCGCTCCATCGCTGGCAGCCTGGCTCGCTCCGTCAGCTCCATCCTCTTCCCTCTGGCATGACTCCGTCTTGCCTCCAACATCTGCTGGCCCAACAGAAAAACTCCAGGCCCCAAGACTGGCAAGTGCCCAGAGAGAGGGAGGGAGGGAGGGAGAGAAAGGGGAGCCCCGGAGTGAGGGCCCCAGGTGGGAGGAGGAGGAGGAGGAGGTTGGTGGCCCCGGCATGCCGTCCCTTCCCTGTTATCTTCTGGCCCCTGGCAGTTCAGATGTGGCTCCTCTAAGACAGGAAGGTGGGGATGGGCTCACTCCATGGAAGGGGTTGCTGTTGGATTCAGGAGAACTAGGAAAAGGACGTCAGTCTCCAAATAAGGCTTCTTTCATTTCAGGAATTTGCACCCACAAGGTGTGGTGGTAAGATGGCTTTAAAAGAGGATAGGATGAATTTTGGAGAAGGATGTTGTCAGAGACTGTTAACCTTAGTTATGTGGTCCCACACATTCAGAAGTGGGTTATCTATAATGGACAAATAGATGGAGAAGCTGCTGCTCTTATGCTCTTCCTATGTTTTTTCTTGAGGCCTGTAACTGGACTTCATGGATTTGATCCAACATAGTTTCTGTTTTGTTCAAGGGGGTTGAGAGCTAAATTTCTTATAACAGGTTTCCAGGAGAGGTACCCATATTCCTGTCCCCCACCCCATACACACTCACTCACCCAGAATTAATTTTACCTTCAGCATATTGCATATGATGTGGATGCTTTGTGTTGCTGACAAGCATGGTTTAGGAGTCTTGTTCAATATCCAAACTTTCACATTGGTGTAGACTTCTCAGGATGAAATTGGGGGAAAGAGGAGAGTGTTGCAGAATGTTTATATACAATATACTTTAAATAAAAAATTCACATTTCACCCACTACTTCCAATCTAAATTACTGACTGAATATTTGAATGAGTTTCCATCTGCAGTCTTACAGCTTTTTGTCCAGGTCAACTAAACATAGCCCATTGCTTTACCCTCGGAGTACAGCTCCTCCTTGAGAAACTGTCATTGGTACCATATGCTAGTAAATAGCTTGTTTGCACAGGAAAAGAACATGTGTTGTATTTAATCAAAAATTGATTAGATACTGTTCCTTTTTAATGATTTACTGCATTGCCATAGGAACTTTGAGCTCTTGTCTCAACCATTCCTAAAGCGTTTTGGTCAATTTTATATCTATCGATAAACAAGAATACTAGTTTCTTAAAAACTCTCACTTTATCATTATTCTTAGAACCCAGAACTCGTTCCTCAGCTAACACTCAGAGATCAGTTCTGTCAAGTAAGAATTGGAGGTTTCAGTGAGTAACAGTAATTTGTAGTAAGTCTGAAACTTAAATTTCAATAAGTAAAAACAATTTATATATTTTTTTCACTTTCATGCAGGTATTTGGCATTGGCTCTTTGTTCTTATTTGTATTGCATCTAAGAGCAGAAGTGCCCTGGTTTATCAGACCAAAGATCCATATAGTGGCCAGCCAGATGACTCCAGGAAGCCCACAAACAGGACATGGGTAGAATACCACTTTTCTTCCTCATGTTCCTAAGCACCTTGTATACAGAGCCATGCTGCCTCTTTTACTTGAGGTTGTATATAACCTTCATAACTAGGGACTGCTGAAAGCCTTATTCTTCATAAATTTGTCTAATTCTCTTTTAAAAGCCATGTCTTTTAGTCGTCATCACTACATTATGTTATACTATATGGTACATTTTAACTACATGCTATTTATATGATTTCCTGTCATGGAATCTGAGCTGTTCAGTGACTGACAACAAAACAGATTTTGGTGTTGTGATGGGAACATGTTTTTGACCTGAATCTTTTGTGGTTCAGGATCAATGGATGATCCTAGGTTCTACTATTATGATTCAGAGGGGAAAGATGCTTCCTATTTATGTTTTTCTATGCATACACTTACAATCATGTCTTCTGTTACCCCCTTTTTTCTTAAGATAAACAGCCTTTTCTAAGAGATGTAGGTCCTATCAGTTTAGTTGACCTTTTCCACACCTTTTTTTTAGTTCTGCAATATAGTTTCCTAGGTACGATGGTCAGAATTCTACATAGTATTTAGTGTGATTGCATCCTGGATTTGTTAGGGCAACATATTGGCACTTTCTCCACTCCCACTCCCCAAGTATGCCCATTGTAGAATGATTTAAAAAAAAAAAACAGTAGCTGTGCTTCGGGGAAATATTTTCCTATCACAACACCCAAATCTGTTTCTTTGTCAGTCACTGAACATCTCGGATTCTAGCAACATGTATGTGAAGTTAGGGTTTTTTACTCTCGTATGGATGTGCCATTTTAATGCTTCCATCATGGAGACATCATTTTGAACATATTTGCAATCTATTCCAGACTTGCTCACAGCACACTAAATAATCTGGTGTTATCAGTAGTCTTGGGTGCCTCACTGCTCACCCCTAGTTCCAGATAGTTTATCAACAAGGTGGGAAGCAGTGGGCCTTATAGTGCTTGGGATGACTGGAGAACTCCCCTGTTGGTATTCTTCCATTGTTAGAACTGTCCATTTTTGCCTACTCTCTGTTGGCGTTTCTATTACCAATCCATAAAAGGGTCTCTTCTCTTAACAGACAACTTTTAAGTTTATGCAGGGGTATTTGATGAGGGAATTTGTCAGAAGTTAAGAAGTCTTAAGTAAACAAAATCAACTAGAGCATCCCTGTCCACTTAGGTATTGACACTCTTCAAGAACTCTAAAGTGAGTCAGATCTACCTATTCTTAGTTTAACATGAAAATGCTCAGTGTGTGGTGGTGTTTCTATGAAGTGTTCTTAAATTATTTGTCCGTACATTTTTTAATTAAAAGGACATTTTGCTTAGAAGCTCCAGAGAACTCTCAGTAGTTTAGTGGAAATGAAAAGGTTTATTTGTCTTTGACGATTAAAACAATAGATTTTTAGCAGAATATTTAGCAGAATTGCTTAGTGCTATTTATAATTTGTTTCAAACCAGGTTTCCTTGGGCAGAAATACCACTGAGTTTAAGGCAGTTTTCTATTTACTGTGCCTTCTGTCCTGTTAAACTTTCCATCATGGAGATTGTGCAAGTGTGAAACATCTCTTTTCTCCAGGCTTGTCTTCAGCCGTAGTGTAAAATGTTATTCTTTACTGGTTGTAGTTCTTATGCAGTGGCAGGTTCAGCTAACCTTATGGCTAAGCAAACCCACTAGTGTGTTTTTCAGACATAAGAGGAAGAATTGTTGTACTGGGCTCTGGACATTTTTCAAAAATAAGAGAAAGTGATCAGTTTCTGGAATGTCGATGTTGTTCTATAAAAAGGCTGTAGAAAGTGCTAGGATGTGAACTTTCAAGGCTCCAGATGGTCCTTTCCTAAAATAAGCTATTTGGTTCAAATTTGCATTACACAGAAATTCACCATAGGTACAGTAGTTTATTCTGATATTTTGGCTCTCCTGGTGAAAATGCATGTCGGGCTTTTTCAGAAACCTACAGTCCTTAAAATACAGTATATCAGCAAAATATAGATTACTTACAGATAGGACTGTAGGTAGGGTTGTTAAACCAAGGACTGTGTATAAGAGGAAGCTTTTTATCTGCTGCCTGTACAGCTAAGAATTGTTCTGAAATAACATTATCACAGCTGACTGAATAGCTCAATGAGTTAGGTATCTGGCTGCAGAGCCAGAGGTTGGGAGTTCAATTCCCCACTGTACATCTTAGGAAAGCCAGCTTATGTTGCTTTGGACAAGCTGCAGAGTCCCAATATACCCCTAGAAGAAGGGCATGGTCAACTACTTACGAGTGCTTCTTACCTCAAAAACCATGAAAAAGGTTGCCATAACTTAGAATTGGCTTGACAGCATGTTATTATTAACATTATCAAAAGGGCAGCATTGGAGATAGTGTTAACTGTTCATTTTAGATAAATGCATGTTCAAATTCTAGTAATTCTCTGCATTTTTGTAATAGCACTCCACTTCTCTTTGTTTTGGCATCTTGGCCATGTATCAGAGAGAAGAAACATGGAGATCCTATATTCTTGATACGTCTGGTACCCCCAAAGCCCTTGTGTTTTGGGGAAAGTTCATGACTATAGATGGACATGAACCTTACTATGGAGGTTCTTCTCAGTTTGTTCCCTTCCCCTGGCTTCCTAGCCAGTGTTCCTCTCTTCCTCTTTGGCTGTTCAGCCAGTCCCTGGCAGGAGCACAGGCTTGCCTGTGCTGCCTCCTTGTCTGAGTAGGTGATCAGACAAGGAGGCAGGGCAGGGAGCCCATGCTCCTCCTGGGGCTGAGTGAACAGCTAAAAAGGAGGAGGAGGAGGAGAGGAGTGCACGGCAACTTGTGAGTGGGGGAATCCAGCTGGGGAGATGGGGGAAGGGAATGTGCAACATCTGTAGTGCTGCTCTTGTGAACTGGCATGAACCTCCGAAACAAGGTTCCTGCCCATCTCTATTGACTTTACATGCAGAGCCTGCCCTAGAAGTTATCGTAGAAAGTGGCTAGGATAACTGGGTTTCTGAAGCTTCTAAATATGAGATGGTATTAGCAAAACTAGTCTGTTTAGCATGTTCATGGAGTCTCACAGGTAGACTTGTGACTGTTGAAATAAGAGTAGTGTGTTTTGATATGGATATTATCAGTTTGATATCGGGTCTTGTGTTTTGCTTTCCTCCAGCTAGAATGGAAGAATCTCACTTCAACTCCTCACCGTATTTCTGGCCAGGAGTGCCCACAGTCTCAGGACAGGTAAAGGAATGCCTGTATTCTAAAATGCTTTGTGTAAAGATCGACACACGGATATTCTAAAACTTCTCTCTTTCTCTGCCTTCCATCTTCTCACTCTAGATTGACAACAGTATGTTCATTAACAAGATGAAGGAGCAACTGTTGCCCTCGGAGAAGGGCTGTGGTCTTGCTCCCCCCCACTATCCTACCTTACTGACTGTACCCACCTCTGTGGCCCTTCCCACCAACATTTCTATGGATTCTGACACCAAGCCAGAACAGCTAACCCCCCACAGCCAGGCCTCTGTGACACAGAACATTACTGTGGTCCCTGTGCAATCTGCTGGGCTCATGACGACAGGTGAGAGGAACATGGCGAGTGCAGTAGTTATGCCCTGCTCTTGTTTTGTTTGTTTTAATTTTTTTAAATTGTATCCCACACTGCTTCTTAATGATTCAGAGTAACTTAGGTGCAAAGGCTAATGTTGTTAGCATGCCTTGCTTGGACAAACCAGATTTTGCAGTCCTCATCTCTGCCCACCAGCCTTTGGAAACAGCATGTGCTCCTTGCCATTGACTAAAGGTCCAGTGTGCCCTCAGCTATTGCCAACTGGTACTTCCTTTCTTTCTGACCAGGGGTCAGCCAGGCATTTAGTGGTTCAACAAGGCTGTTGAATGGGTCCTCTTTCCTGCCTCGGTACAGGAAAAGGCCAGCAGGTTACGATTGGGAGTCGCCAGCTTCATTTTGTGCTGCTGTGGCTTCCAAGGCACCTTTGGGCATGAAGCTGCTGAACAGTTGCCTGCCTGCCTGCCTGCTTTCTGTCTTGGGGAACGGGGCGGGGGGCGCTGATCTTAGGCAAACTTCTTACTTTTGCAGCTTCAGGTTTGGAAGGAAAACTGGCTGCTCGTCATGCATGCCATAAGATAGTATTGCACTTACGATGGTGAGTGGATATTTTACAGTCTGCGTTAATGTTTCTTCTCCCCCTCTCTCTCCCCACCCCCACCAATTTTATTCCCTAGTAACTTGTGAGATAGATGAGAATGAGAGTCTAACCCAAGCTCATCTATTAGGGTTTGTATTTGGCTATATGAACATTGGTCTCCCAAATCCTGTTAATATTTTTGCTTAGACACAGTGAAAGATGGATGTGTATTTTTTTTTCCTGTGGGGCTGGTATCTGACCCCTCCCCTCTTTCTTTTTGTCTGTCTCTCACTGCAGGACCTGGTCTTGTGATCACTTCTCCCTCTGGGTCTCTTGTGACTACAGCCTCTTCTGTGCAGACCTTTCCCATCTCGGCCCCCATGATTGTCTCAGCGCTTCCCCCTGGTTCCCAGGCAGCTCTCCAAGTGGTACCTGACCTTTCCAAGAAGGGTGCCACTGTCCTTTCAGAAGGTGGTGCAGTGAGTGGTGTTGGAGGTATAACTCCCAAAGGTCCTCGAGGTCGCAAAAAGAAGCGCCTGCAGGAGTCTGGCCTGCCAGAGATGAGTGACCCTTTTGTGTTACCGAACGACGACGATGAAGACCAGCACAAGGATGGCAAGACATACAGGTGGGAATATGGGATGAAGTTGCCTGTGGTCAGCTGGCATTACCTTTATACTGGAAGGGGTTTGTTTCGTTGCATTGTGTGGCATTCTTCTTCAGGGGGGCCACTTTGGTTCTGTTTCTGTAAGGATGTAGACAGGAAGATACGTAGTTGCAATAAAAGTAAATGAGGGGCATATAAGAACTCTTGGCTATCTACTGTTTAGTCTGATGTTCTGTTGTTAGCTCAGAAGGGTGGGATGTGAACATTAGCCGATGAAATACAATTTCCAACTAAATTCTTAAGATTGCTGCTGATATTGCCAAGCAGCTGTGCATCAGCCAAAGCTTCTTGAGCAGCTCATTCCTGCTGAGTGTTTAGACCTGTCAGGAATTATATATGTGGTGTGCATTTTTCCCCTTCAGGCAGCACTGGGATTTTTCCAGCAATAGGTACCAATTCTTTGATACTGACTTTCTAATACTAGAGTACTCCTTGACAGCCAATGGTGCCGGGAGAAGCTAGTCTCCCCCTGTTCCTATGATTTTGTTCTAGACTGAGTGTCGGAGTCCCATGCAAGCAATTGGTGAAAGCCTGATCTCTTGCAAAGATAATTTTACACACTGTCTGCTGGTAATGAAGTACAAATGGCAGTGATTAGATTATCTTACCTTACTTCCTCGGGTAGATTCTGAATATTTCAGGTTTAGTTTCAGTATATTGGCATAACAAGCTGAACATGTTATAATGCTAGGAAAGTGCTTCTCAAATGACAATGGCTATGTCTGTATTGTGATTTAGCTGGACAGGTTGGGTGTGAAATGGGACACTGGGTGTCCAGTGGACTTCCGAGTCTTCCTGCACTAAAGACTGTCAGATTATTTTTACAAAGTAACATGAGATGGTATACTTGAGTCTTGCCGTTTAATTTTGCAGATTGACGGGTTATGAACGTTCCTAATTCTCTTGGTTCTACTCTCTCCTATTGTTCTTGTTTGATTCAAAGCAGAATTTATGTTCAGGTTCAGTAGCTATTGTGTACTTGTGCCTGGTTGTAGAGAGGCTACTGTTATGGTTTGCTAGCTCACAGTCTTTCTACATGAAGGGGTTTCCAAATAAAAAATTGTTCTTTTGGTTCTAGTCTGGTAAAGCTAGATGTGTATATGGAGGCTCCTGTACAAGTGGCCCAGCAAAGTAGATATTGAGTGCAGGAAGATACATCCCTCTACTGGGAAGATGTCCAGTGGCGAACATGCCAAAACACATTTTGTGAGGATGCATTTGTGAAGAATAACTCTGTACAGTTAACACAGAAGTAGACAGCTTCAGCAGCTGAGGCTTATACTGCATGGTAGGTGATGTGGTAAGTTGTAGCACTCTAGCATAATATGGTATTCCATTTCTGTATCATATGGGATTCTGTTCCTGTTGAGTTCACTTTCTGTGATTCCCTTTGTGTGTGTAAACGCCATACCCTGGGCTAGTAAATAACTGTGATTCAAAATGGTGGCTGAGTGCTTGTTAACAGTACATAGCTGATTGCGAGTGACCTTGTTGGTGTCTTGACTCTGTTGCATTGGGCCTGGATTTGAAATTGCTTGATGAATCAACTAGGATGAAAGTAAGAGCTGTTACTTCCTTTCTATTGGAGCTTGTCCCAAGAATCTGTCTCCAATCATCCAATGTATGTATACTTATGTGCCCTCTGTGGACTCTTGCAGTGTTGTATGCTGGAGGTCTGAGGGATGAAGCCCACTTATATCAATGTTTCCTAGTACAGTTATACTGAGTTACCCAGCTTTCTTCCTGGTGCTCTTACCATGGAAAGGAGGAGAAGCTGTTGTTTGACTCTGTACCTACCTCACCACTGATGATGGTCCCCTCAGATGTTGTTCCTGCACTGTGTTGTATTTTCAGTGCTTGTAGTTTTAGTGGGTATTGTGTTTGGATGTTTGTGGTATCTGTCAAATTGGGGCAATCTTTTTAGATGTATCAGTAATTTCAATGGTTTTGGCTTGATTTTCAGAAGCCATTTTACTTAAATGTGAATATGGATTAAGGAAGATAGCAAGCAGCCTCTTGTTCCTCAAAATACCCACATTCTCTGAATTTGTGGAAAAGTAGAGTAAATGCCCAAAGATTCTTGAGAAGGATGATGCAGCCCTTGAAGTGGATGATGGAAAGTTTCATTTTGGTAAATATGTTGCAGTTCTGTGGCTGGTCTGTTCATATGTCTTTTTCTGCAAGATCATCTCAGTGCAGAGCACATTCATTATAAATTGTTACAATTCCTGTTGGTTTTTTCTGAAATCTTTTTGAGATATGGTTATATTCATATGTCTTTTTCTGCAAGATCATCTCGGTGCAGAGCACATTCATTATAAATTGTTGTTACTATTCCTGTTGGTTTTTTTCTGAAATCTTTTTGAGATACGGTTATATCCTTTCCTAGTACTGAAGACTTCAGTACCTAAACAAAGTTTGTGAATCTAAAATGTGTTTCACATTGGTGCATCAGTTTATGTAAGCAGAAACTTTCCAATACTGTATTCAGTAAGCATAGTCTGATAGCTTATTCTCTAAAATATGGAGATAATATTGGTCTATCTCATAAAAGTTACAAGGATTTATGTGACTGCTTTCAGTGCTAGATCTTGGTAAGGAGGCTGTTTTCCGCAGAGCAATACTAGCATTATTCTTGAAGTCTTCAGCGGTATGCAGTACTTACTGTTATACTGTTATTATATATGTGCATTCTCTCACTCTTCCTCCTGCAGACAACCATGAATCCTAGCTTAATATGACTGAGCTAGGCACCCGGGACTGTAATGTAATGGGTATAAAGGAGGGCCAGGAAGTTTGCCACTTGCATATGAAGCTGTTTTACCCTAAAGGAGAACAGAGGCCCTCCTACTCTATCCTGTCTCACCTTGATTCCTCTGACACTGAATCTTTCCCAGCTCTGCTAGAAATTGCACCTGGGGCCTCCGTACCGGGCATGTGTTCTGCCACTATGCTTAGAGGCACATCCTGATGTCAGTGTACTTCTGCCCAAATCACCTGAGGTACATTTGACCCTGCATGCTAAGACTTACTCTCTCAGCCCTTTTAAGTTCAACTCCCTCTCTGTTTTTTATGTGCTCAGCAAGCACACTAAAAAGGTTATGCTCATTTATCCATTTATTTCTTTTCAATGGCCAGCATCTTACTGGAGATTTTTACCAGAGTAAATATAATTCTGTAAATTGCAGCTGCATATTGCTGTCAGAAAGTTGTTGCTTACGTTCCTAGCCTTGCTCCAAGTTGTGTAATTGTCATATGATCAGGAATAGGAGCAGCAACATATTAGTGGCAGTTTGTTCCTGCCATTTGTGCAATTGCATTTATGCTGGTATAAATTCCCCGGTAGCATTCTGCCTTATGTATTTACACTTCTCATCAAATAGATGGTTCCTAGAATGAGTTAGAACAAGAGAAATCAAGAATGACATTAATGCATAAACCCCATATAAAATTAGATAGGTTTTATATTGTCCTCCTTCTGATTATTTCCCAAGACTTTGATTGAGTAGAGAACACATTTTATAAATACTGATACTGAGTGCATGTTTGTAGCAAAGAATGCCTACGAACCGCATATATGTTTCTTTCCATACGTAAATATGTGGGTACTTGCAAAACATGGCCAATCCAGAGCAGAAGTCTCCTAGTGGTCTCCTGGTAACCTAATAAGGATTCACTTTGTCCTGATGGTTGTGGGTTGCTGAAGCATGGCCTCTGAACCACCTCTTGTCCCCTATTCTGTTAACAACATGGTGGTTGACCTTAGTACTATGGGGAAAAGTTTTATTTTAAACATGCAGATACAAATAGGCAATAATCCATTCGGGTACAGACTGTATATTAAACCTTTCCATTTTCCCTTGGTCTTTGCTGCTAAAATGTCAGTGATGCATAGGAGGAAGTGTTCCCATGACATCCATCTTCGTACTTCTAGTTGCGATATAGCTACGAGATAGAGATGTATTGTAGGGGTTTCATGTAGTGAGTCTGCTTGCTTATGAGTCTGCAGAAATTGTCACAGCCTGTTCATACGGCTACACAAGTTTACTGGGAAAGAATACTGAGAATGTATGTTATGATTGGCACGATGGCATGGAGATTCTCGACTGACAGCAATTTTTTAGCCACTTTTTGTCTTCTAAATTGTCCCATAAGGAATGCTTGTACAAACTTTCCTGTAGGCCAGTTTTATTTCACCAGTGTTGTTGCTATGAGTTTCTTATGTGGTTTAAAAGGGGAAATGAGCTAACAATTTAGCTATGGCAAGAATTCTCTATCTATAGCAGATCCATTTTTGAGATCTTTGCACTGAAACCTGTGGTCCAGTGGCTGTTCATGTGTGTTCAGTCTCCGTTTCAAAGTTTTTTGCATAATCAGAACCAGCTGTTGAATTTTGAAAAGACAGTAGAGAAGTTTTTAAAAAAAAATTAATTCTGTAAACTTAAACCTTGTCTTTGTGTGCAGAAAGCACTTGGATCTTTTGTGGGAGAAAACCCCTACAGTTATCCTGATAAATATGGGAAGCCTTTCTTGAATTGTTTAAGGGAAAACAATATATCAGTTCAGTTGATTTTAGAAGATATTTTTAAATACTTTATTTTTCCATGTAGAAGTATACTTTTGGCTAAAATCTTTAGACTAAAAATGGAGGGCCGTCTTATACGTTTAATTAAGCTGAGAAGAGAACAAAACAAATGGAGGGGAAAGCAGGGATCAAAGTGATCCTGCAGGGCTTTGATCCCTGCTTTCCCCTCCACTTGCTAAGCCCCACTTTGATTTCTTAATTTTGAGTTAGAAAATAGGGTGGGGGGGCATCTTATACATAGAAAAATACGGTAATTTGGCCATCTAAAAGGCAAGGAAAAATACTACTGGCTGTGTAAACATAGAATTTCTCTTGGCATACTGACCTTGATTTTTATCCAGTACTATTCTGATTGTTTTCTCTTAAATCAAAGTCA